GGGGGGGGGGAGGGAAGGGCAGTGGGGAAGGCATGTTCCTTTTTTGGTTTTTCTTCGGCGGTGCTCCAGCCACCTTTTTTTTTTGCGCGCGCGCTTGTGGCAGCAGGAGCCACCTTATGATCGCATTATATCCAAATCTGCATTATCGTGGGGCGCGTTATAGAGGGGTTTCCCTGTAATTGCACCAAAGGGTTCTCACGCCAGAAATAATGCCACCAAACAGCCTTTACTGGTACAGAACTTGTACTCCAGCAGTTTTCAACTTAAACAATCTGTACATTACAGTCCTCCAAGTCCATCATGTAAGTGCACAATCTCATTACCACCTGATTGCAAAGCTGTCTAGGACAAATTAGTTATCTGTTAAAATCTTTCCTACTAAAAGCAAAAAAGAGTCTGAAAAATGTTCAGGTTTCAGTTTGAGAAATTATACAGCTGTGGAAACCACAGTTCCAGCTGAATTCTGGAGCACATTTGCTCTAAAAACCACACATTAAACTACCCCCAAAAGTAATGAAATAATTATAATTTCTGCATAATAGAAATACCAATGACTAATATTCAAATGCTTCCCATTAAGAGATTTTTAATAGGTTTTAAGTTCTTATGTGCAAATCTATTTATCATTTAACTATTTTCAGAATGCATAAGTTACATCACTGACAATTTAACAAATGTTCTCTCAGACAGTTTCAAGTCATGCAAAAAACTCAAGCCTTTTGGAATTACTATTCAAGTACTTTAAAAAGAGCTGCCTGCATTCTGATATGAAAGTATATGCAAAACAGCCAAAAGTATTGGGGTGGGAGTGGAGCCTTGCCACGTGAAACCACTTTTTATTTAATCTGACCTGCAGTTAATGAAAAAGTAAAAAACCACTAGTTCCTCACCAGAGTATTGCTCTTCTTAATATCTTCTAATCGCTCCAACACTGAAGTCAGGTTTGGGTCATCTGATTCCACAAACCATATTGGTGATGAAGAGGGATAAGACTCCTGTAATAGAAATGACAGTTAACACAGCCATACCAATAGTTAAGCAATACAATATTAGTGTCAGACTAACTTAAAAAACTGTTAGATTATGTAGTAGCATTGATGCTTTTACCTCAGATTTACTTTTTTCTTAAAGTTACTTTTCCCCAACCTCTCTACCTCAACTTGTTACTCAAGCTTTTTCCTGCAGTTTTAAACTTCAGCCTATTTTCCTCTCTGTCCAACAATGGACATGCATAAGATTGAGGTTTAAAAGTAAATTTTCCTTCACTTCTGAAGTTTAAATCTGGAGGGCAGTGGACACTACAGAAAGTCAATGAATCTAGTACAGTCATCACATATTACAAGCTAGAGCTATATTTTGAAGGACAAGAGTCAGACATACCTACATCCCAACTTCCTGTTTGTCAACAAAGTTTTAGAGACTCACTCAAGTAAGTGAAACAAACATGAAAGCATTTGGTACCTATTCACAATCCTGACAGTACCATAGAAGAGGCACCAACATTTAACCCTGGAACGAGTTTCTCCTAACTGCTTTGGAAGTGTGCTCTAGGTGTACATGAGTAAATAATTCACGTAACATGTCCCCATTATGTCCTCCAAGACCAGGACTTTCAGAGGCACCAATTTTATCTATGCTTCTGCTACTGTGGGCTTGTGAAAGGCCCTCCAGAGTTTAAAGACTGCCTCCTGGAGAGCAGGGTCTCAAAAACCTCCTTCTTCAAGGCTGCTTTCAAGACACTACTATGACCCAAAAAGGGTTTTAAATTTGTTTAGTTTGATAGCAAAATGCCAAATATATTTATAAGCTAGTTAGAATAAAAAGAATTCTGCACAATCATGAAGCACGTCTTATGCTATTTAGAAGCTACCAAAGATAACTCAAACTGCTACACTACTTATAAGACAAGTTTACCACTCCATCCTCCACTTACTTAACATTCAATATTCCTACAAATTGTTTTTGCAGCTTTTAGGAAATTCTCAGAATCGTCAGAAGAAGCCTGTGAGTTACTGAATAATCTTGGTAGTTAGGATCAAGAGATCTATCCTAGCATAGATGGTTATGTGCCGCTACAGCTGTGCCGCTAAAAGGCGTGCAGTATAGCCACTGTTTGTTGGCAGGAGAGAGCTCTTCCGCAGACAAAAAACTTCCACCCCCAGGGAGAGGTGGTAGCTTGGTCTACTGTCCCACCAACAAAGTTCTGTTCATACCGGCACTTTTCGTCAGTAAAAACTTTTGTCGTTCAGAGGTTTGTGTTTTTTTCACATCCCTGAAAGACAAAAGTTCCAGCGTAGACAAAGCCATAGGCTGGTATTGCCAGGGTCTGCCAAGTCCAAAGCAAGACAGCATCTTACAGTAGATGTGGTGTTTGAATGAGGAGAGAAGGCAGGTGTGAGAAACTCCAAGAGAAGCTGTATAAATGCTATACACTGTACAGCATATACAGTA